ATGAAATGAAATGGGGTTTAACGTCCTACTCCTATACTGGGCTAATGAAGACGGGCATAAGCCATACAGTGTGCAATGAGGGAAATTTTGCCCGGGCAGCGGCACTATCCCCTACACTTATATCGAATTCCAACTGCCAAGGGATCTTTTACGTGCATTCCAATGTATACACGGGACCTCAGTTTTTCATCTCATCCGAAAGACTAGACAGCTGTCCTTGTCAGGCCCTCTGTCCTGCATCACTGACAAGGGGAAACCACGCCAGAAAATTGGTATGAACTTTCTCGGCCAATGCAGGGATCGAACACCCGACCTCCAGGCTAGCGAGCCAGCGTCTTACCCACTTAGCCACATGACCCCCCTTCACCTAATGAACATCTACATGTACATCAAGTTTAAACATATTCTAACTCAATTAAAAGCAGAGTTGTTATGTTCCAAAGTCTTGACCAATCAAATTGCTTATCACTCCTTAGCCTAAGCAGAAAATTCTCATCATCGAACTTAGTCAAGGTAATGATATGATGAATCTATACACAAAGTTTCATCACCCTCACGCCTAATGAACGCCTACACCAAGTTTGAACATTCTATCTCAATTAGAAGGAGAGTTATTGTGTTCCAAAGTCTCGACCAATCAAATTGCTTAATGCTCTGTTTACCCTAAGCAAAAAATGCTCATTATCGAACTTAGTCAAGGTACAATGTATTGATGTGATAAAACTATACACCAAGATTCCTCACTCTCACTTAATTAGAATTGAAGTTATTGTGTCCCAAAGCATCAACCAATAAAATTGCTAATCTCTGCTTACCCTAAGCAGAAAATTCTCATCTTTGAACTCCATCATGGCATTCTTCTAATTTAGTAATAAACACCTACATGTACATCAAGTTTGAACATTCTAGCTCAATTAGAAAGAGTTATTGTGTTCCAAAGTCTCGGCCAATTAAATTGCTTATCGGTCTACTTACCCTGAGCAGAAAATGCTCATTATCGAACTTAGTCAAGGTATTCATATAATAAAACTATAGAGCAAATTCCATCACTCTCATTTAATTAGAACTAAAGTTATTGTGTCCCAAAGCATCAACCAATCAAATTGTTTATCTCTGCTTACCCTTAGCAGAAAATGCTCATCTTCGAACTCCATCAAGGCATTGACCTAATAAACACCTACATCAAGTTCGAACATTCTAGCTCAATTAGAAAGAGAGTTATTGTGTTCCAATGTCTCGGCCAATCAAATTGCTTATCGCTCTGCTTACCCTGAGCAGAAAATGCTCATTATCGAGCTTAGTAAGGGTATTGATGTAATGAAACTATACACCAAGTTTCATCACTCTCCCTCTCAATTAGAACTAAAGTTCTCGTGTCCCAAAGCATCAACCAATCAAATTGCTTATCTCTGCTTACCCTATGCAGAAAATGCTCATCTTCGAACTCCATCAAGGCATTGACTTAATAAAAACCTACACCAAGTTTGAACATTCTAGCTCATTTAGAAGAAGTAGAGTTATATTGTGTCCCAAAAAGTGTGACGGACAGACAGACGAACCCATTTTAATAGTCCCCTGCTTTCTTCGAAAGGCAGGGGACAATAAAATTGAAATAAAACCAAGTACGAACAATCAAAACCATTAGACAAAATTCGAAGTCCTAAAAAACGGTATAGGCAAATAGTGTAATCAGCAAAAATACTGTGTAGTGGAAATAAATAGGGCTGGGAGCTGGGACAATGACAGCTACAATGTACCTTCAATATTCATATTTTATAAAAGTAATTCTTTTGAAAACATGAAACATTAATTTTAATTATCAGAGGTAAAGAAAAGGGCACTTGAAATACTGAAAACTTTTATAATAATTGAATACTGTTGAGGCTTTTCAAAAGAGTTATTTTACAGATATTAAAGGAGCTGTCATTATCCGAATGTCATTTCTTCCATTAAACCATATATTTCTTTTTTACAATATTCTCAAATATTCCTTATGTACAAAAGAAATGACAAATGTGTATATGTGACATAATTAAATATACTGTACATGAAATGGATCAATTAGTTTTTGTTTACTTGGCACCACCAAGTTTATGTAAAAGTTTTTGGATTTAGCTCTGGACAAGGCATAATTCTAAACCATCAAGCTACTTGAAGAGGTCAAACTACATTGCAAGTCTAAACAAACAAAAAGGTCACCCCATTCACATGTATCTGAAACTCACATACACACTCAAAATGTCTGAATGAAGTTAAAGTTGGCTGTTCACCAAACAATAGTATATTAACACTTCATCCCATGAAATGCCTAATTAAATCTCTAGTAAATAAGATATTATCAATTATGTGGTAACTGGTAACAGATTTATTGTCTTGCACTTGCTTCATACTTGTACTTCAAAATAATTATGTGCACATATATGCCAAAAACAAGTTTTGTTTGTATTAATCAAATTTAATTATAGACCTAAGTACTTCAATTAACAATTGTGCAATACTATAGTAAAGGGAACCAGGTAGAGTAGACATATTTTTTAAAACGATAATAACACTGATACTTACTACAAAAAAAAGAAGCAAATACCCAACCATCTATAGGCCCGCATAAAAATGGTATTAAGATTGACAGAATTAATTTAATTCATGTAATTAGTCCGTTTGGAGGGACTACATGTACTACCGGTGTGAATTCGCAAGATAGAATGGTTTGTGGGCTGTCGTTGATTCAATCTGATTAAAACACAGATCCAATTTTGTTTTGTTTTTATAGTTCAAAATTTAGATTTTACTTGTCTTTACTACACTTGGATCTGGAAGCGTTGTTTAACTCGTGTTCTGCTTGAAATGAGGGGTCAGCCCATCAAATGGTCTGTCGAATCGAGCATTTGAACTTTTTTGCGCGGAACTGTGGGTAGACATTAGCGGCAATAGAAATCATAACAAAGCAAAAGAAGATAAAAAATACACGGCGGTCGCTAATTGTTTAATCGATTGACTGACGTAATCTGGTCAAATGTCGCTTGCTTGGTACCTGACGTCATAGAACGTGAACTCCCACTATAACTTGTTAGATCTTCATGTAGTGTAGGCCATCGAAAGTATAAAAAACAAAACGAAATATTAGATTGCCGTTGATTAAGATATCTCACTAGAAGCACTGCACCCTCTCATGGGGACTAAAGAATCATTGTATTTACATTGTTACCTTGCATTAATTAATAGTTCAGGTCAAGTAAGCTTATATGTATGATACATGTATAATGGTGTTTAACAAAACATTGAGATTCTGTAATTGCTCTCTCATAAACTGGACATACCTACATGTATGATGTTATTTTGTTTTAATTTAGATCATAATTTTTATAATGGATACAGAATACATGTAGATTAATTTTTAATTCCACTAGGTTACGGGTACCTCTCACTTATCATTACATGCATGATATCAGATAAATAATGTATTCCCTGCCCATTTTATACTTAATGCTTAGCTCATACAATGTAGCTCTACTAGGTATTTCTTCTTAACGGAAATATACATGAGATAACTTTGACCTGCTACATGTATATTTTGATTGGCAAGTGGATAGAGTTAAAATTGCATGAGGGGAAATACAAATTTATATGAAATAAATGAGTTCAATAAAAGAGAAAGAAAATAAGGACTACTGAAGTAGTCAATTTCAACTATATAATTGCACTGTATTAGGCTGACCTTAAAAATATCTTTGTTTCACCAAACCCGACCCACAATCGAGGAGAAGGGTCGGTAGGTCGGTTTTTTTTTTCAGATTTTTTTTTTAAAGTTAGAGAAATCAATACAGAAAACTTATTAGCTGTATACTACAGATTCATTAATTTTGTTTAATGAATTTGGGGTCTGACGTAAAAAGTAACGAACTGAAAGTTTTTTTTATTAAACTTATGAGCTAATTTGACAGCTTAATAATTTTCCGGGTGGAAACATTCGTCTTCTTTATTCAATTGGCAAAAAAATAAATGAGTGAATGACATCGGGAATTTTTCGTGATGCCCGACTCGCAAACGATTTGCCACGAACTTGAAGTGTGAAACTCCTTCAACACGTTTTTAACGATACTGCGGGTTGTGCCTTCATTTTTCTCGAAAACGGATATTGAAAATATCGTCGTCATGTTTAAAACTACGCACCACAGACATAGAAGCAGAATCATTTCGTGGGAATGGACGTGTATTCGTCTGCAACCATTTTGTTGAGAAGCGACACCTATGACGCTTTCGTCTTGATCAACCAGTTTCAATAATGAATCAAACCATAACCATAGTAAAGGGAAATAACTCTCGTGATATATTTCAGGTTGACACCCAAAATAAAATAAAAAGATCGTGGAAAAGTGCAATAAAATAATTTAAGTCGGGGGTGGTTTTAGTTAGTCGGTCGCGTTAGGCGAAACAAAGATATTTTTAAGGTCAGCCTTATATGGAAACATTTTAACCTAATTCACACAGACAGAAACAAAATATTGACCAAACTACAATAAAATTATAAAAGCTTGAGTCTTGACAATCCTATTTTATAAAGTGAATAAGATTTATATGACAATGTGGTAATGTATGGTAGTATTAAATGATATCATACAGAGCTCCATTTGGTTTGCAAGCCAATCCCCACAAAGGCCGGTCTGTACTACTACATACATAACATTTTTGTCTGCAGAAGACAGAGAAAAGGTCCATTTAACTTCATACTGGATCAACACTTTATTACCTAGTAGGATGTACATTTATTAATAAATAATTGATAGTGCGACCAATTCTATATTAGTAATGAGTTGTAGGCCATCTTGATTAAATAGAAGTGTACTGTTAATCTACAACAGGAAACACTTCAATCAATATATATTTTATTTACGCACAGTGCATCATATTCAACTATACAGAAACTATCACCATTCACAATCCTGTAGTAAAGGTTTATGCTAAATGCTTAAACATCATATAGAAACAAATAATAAATTTACCTTGTAACATACACCTGTAAGCTGAATCTGCTATTGCATACACATGTGGAGGAACTTCATGTCTTTTTTTACCTTTATATAATTCTATAACTTTTTCTTGGTAAATAGGTAATTTTTTATAAGGGTTTATCACTACACAAAATAATCCGGAATATGTCTGCAATAAAAATAATAAAAACAAATCATTAACACTCAAAATTTGTTTTACATACGTATAAAATGGTTGGAATTGTTGGACATTACAACTCTTTTTAAAACACCCATTACCCCGGGGATAGTTTTAAATGAAGTACTGGTAAGACTAATAATATAATTTATGATTTAGATTACTGGTACTTGCATTCCCATGTAGTTGGCTTTTATTCTGTTATAACTATTTAATAACACTTGACTTGTGATCTTAACAAAAATACTCTATTGTTTATGTATTTATAACTGTCATCAGCTGACTTAAGTTTGTTCAGTCAATCAATCAAACTGCCTTCTTTTTTGTAGATCTTTATCACCACCTTATCTAAGCTTATCAATCATTCATACATGTTTGTAAATAACATGTAGGCATTTTGTAATTTGGCGTTCATTGGAAATAAATTTAAGATCTATAGACATCAATATCTTGGGGGTTAACTGGTGCCATCTTGGTAATGTCCCAGGGGTAACCCTGAGACTGACAAGGAAGTATGTTTAGTAACCACAGGTTCCATTAAAATATTTATCGATGTCGAAATTTAAGAGACTATTGAATTACTAGCTGCTGTCAGAAAAGGGAAAATCTCATGTTAGTATACATGGACATGTACTGTTATTTAAAGTTAACAATTATTAAAATATGTCATAAAAGATTTCTATAGAACAATAATTACATCCAAATCTAAACTAAAAATTGTATGTTATTTAGTTGAACATTGTAAAAACTAAATGGTGTGTTCCAGTTTGACAATCCACTGTGTGTCATGCCTCATCAACTACATAATCTGTCACAATAACAAAGTCTGACCTTCTGAACTTGTATGGGATTCATCAAGGCATAGCCGCTTACAATAGGGTTAAGACAGTTACATATATGTAGCTGTCCACATTAACTTATTAAGGTCAAATTATTTAATATCAAACTTAGTAGTATGACTATTGTTTACGGTTCAGTTTTCTTTAAATATTATTGTTATAAACTGTTCAAACTAAGGAAGTGCAGTTCATAGAGAGATTGTTCTTCTTATTATTATTATGCAAAAATAGAGGTTATGCATGAAGAGGTAACTAAAGTGTAAACCAAAACATGTTCATTAAGTTACATGATTTTGGTATAGCTTGTTCTAATCAAGTAGATTGTGTTCTACCCCCAACTGAGAATTGATCAACAGACTGTCACCACTTGTGGCAAATGTGAAGTAATAACTATTTTACAATAGGCCATAAATAACACTTCCACTGGTAGCCTAAATTCTGAATTAACATGAAATACACATTAATGGATGGTTTGTTTATGTGGATCAAGCTTGCCTACTTATTGAGTGCTACCCCTACAGTACTACTGAATGAATTGTCTTTGATGCTACTACATTTGTACCACATGGATTATACACAAAATGTTATTTTGTCCATACATTGTCATCACAATTCACAAAGTTCTGACCTATTTTATCATATATTGTACAGTTTGTTATAGCCAAGAATCTGGTCTGAATTAGCCATATTCGAAGCCGCTGCTTTCCATATCCCATCAAATTCCAACATAACAAATAAAGACCTATTCTTTCAGATTTTTTAAGTTTATTAATAAAAAAGGCATTAGGTTACATCCACAGATTTGGGAAGGGTGGGGGTGGTTAGCTTGGTACCTTGACCTTCTACAAATAGATGAGCAGTTTGAATAATAAATATGCTTATACTACAACAATTGTTAAATGGCCATGCAATGGACACAAGTTTATTTATCCTAATGTCCATGCAATGGACACAAGTTTATTTATCCTAACGTCCATGCAATAGACACAAGTTTATATCTCCTAACATCCATGCAATGGACACAAGTTTATTTATCCTAACGTCCATGCAATGGACACAAGTTTATTTATCCTAAGGCCCAGATTTCCCAAATAAGGGGTCCTTTGAAACTCTCGACAGGGTCGCCCAGTTACCATGGGGTTGCAACTGATTTTTTCTTTCAATGTCTGTCTGTGAATTCGATGAGGAGTAAATCAGTAAGGGATGTGCTGAAATGCTTGCAAAATGCTTTTCCGGCAGTCAGTTTTTAAAAATTTTCTGGGGCTGGTACTCCCTTATCCCGGTAACAGCACCAGCAGGGTGCCTGTGGGACCTGTAGGCGCTCAAAATAAGTTGTGGGAATCCCTGTCCTAAGGCATGGTTTTGGCTTAACTCATGATGAATGTATTTTAATAGTTGAAGCCACTGGTTTTGGGATAAACTATTAATCAATTTATAATATAGTCAGTCCTATCTTATTCAATTAAGTGACAAATCAATAGCTGTCTACTGTCAGGGAAATGTCTTCAAAAATGATGACTTGTGTTGTGAACTGAGCCTGATGACCACAACCTAATTTCTATTAAAAATAATAAAAATGTACTGTCACACGACACTGTGTCTGTGAAGGCCTACTTTTGTGACATTCTTCACAATCATAACTTACATATATTAATCCAGAGTAATATCTGTCTTTTAAATTATGCAAAACTGATGCTTCATTGAGACAGGTCAGTTCTGCCATGTCTTCGACTTTACTGAACTTTGGGGGGTTCATTTTCTGAACATCGTCTCTGTGGACAGACCTCTTTTGACCACTTTCGTCCACGATCACTTCCAGTTGATCTCCCTTTTCTCCCTTGATGCTGGCCATAACAAATCCATTTTGTTCGTCCGGTATCCATATAAGTTTCCTTCCAGCCCATTCTGCTTGAACAGAGGGGTCGTTGACAAGACTGCGATCTACTGTAAGATATCTAAGCTCTTGAGCACTGAGTCCAACTAAATGATCCTCCGCCATTTTGATTTGAATGGATGGGTTTACGTTCAAACCGGCTCGCGAAAACTAACAATACTAGGCACAGTTATAATGTATAACATATATAAAGTTTATACTTGCTACAACTTTTTGATTCTGTTAATGACAGTCATGTATTGTATTCAAATCATCTCCCAATATAAGATATTTAAAGTTCCATTTATGACAACATGTACTTTATTCACTGTCCTCTTCTTTACAACCGCGTGCCGCCAATTGGATATTAAAATCACGTGACTTCTTCGAGCCAAATTTGAGGCACGCCCTATTTTTAACTCAAAATACCTTTTGCCAGGAAGGTTCGGAGTTAATGACAGTTCTATAGTCGCAGACTTAAAGTCATGCAGGCATTTATTTTTTGATTGCCCGTTCAATGTCTTATCGTTAAACCGTCAATAATGACTCATACCGAATGGACTGAGCCAAGATATGACGTCACTCACTTCACTGAACCCATTTCTATTGAGGGTGAGTCGGGATTTCCTGTTTGTGTATTCAATAAGAATTCCCCCTTTTGTCCTTATATGGATGTTAAAATATCAAGGGGCAATAACAATATTACGCAGTCGGATTCCACGTTTTTAAACTCTTCTGTCTAAATGAAAAGGGGGATACTTCTGAATAGACGTCAGATAGTCTTGGACCATTCGCAATAATTACAAAAAATGAACACATGTTCAGCAGTAAACTCTACCTTAAATATGTCAATTCGAAGTTTGAATAGATTTCACTAAATGCATTCGCGGGAAAATAAAGTAGCATTCCACCGAATATTGTACGTAATCTGTTGTTTTAGCTGGATGCGCTTAATTAGTTTATGGACTATGGTACAGAAAGTAGGTTAAACCCCATTTCATTTAATTAGATTGGATAAGATTATATTGGTTTTAATGTTGATTTATTTGTAAAAAAAAATGTTCTTTTATGTCGTCTTGTTGCTTTATTCGGATAAATATTGAATTATGTTCGGAATTTCATATTCACCAATACACAACAATTTCCCTGCTACGACATATATAGTAGGCTAATTAGCCAATTTTAGGAAAAAGCATCGCAAAAGTGTCATTCGGTACCCTATTTATCTGGTTAATTGTAAAGTTTGTTATGGGTCTTAAGCATAAACCGTTGATTTCCAATTAGGCTTTTCCCATAGAAATATTGCGGTCCTCTAAAAGTCGATCGATGTTTCTGCAGACAAGAGTTTCACCTAAAATTATTTAGTGTATATTAATTCAATTTTGAAAAAAAAATCATAACGAAAATAATTATGCAGCCATTTAAACCTAACAGAAGCTGGTCTGTTTCGTTTAAGAAAATACTGAAACGAATAAGTTCTATTGTGATTTATTGAGAAAAGGGACAAAACTCCAACAAGCAAACCACATTCGCACAGCTTTCTAAATCCCTCAATTACATTTTATCATGCAAGAGATTAGGCCTATAGGGAAAGTGGGACAAAATGGACCCCTCGGGTCAAATGGACCTCTCAACCCAATAGGCTACTTTCCTGAGATAAGGTAGCTGGAAAATAAAGCCTAAGAAGTCAAGTAAAGGTCCCTTAACATCATGGCGAACTGGGTATATCAACGGTGCAGGGAAGCACATGTCTTGTGAAAGTTTTGCCGTTTCCCGATCTATGTGACGGTGAATTGTAGATAGCGTCCCTTTGTGTAAAAATTTCATTCAGGAACCGTTTTTTCATACGATAAAGTTTTGTAAATAACTAGCCTACTTCTATTGTGCCTGAGCAATTTTAGTGCCGTTCGTTCGGCTAGGCCAGAGCAGGACCATTTTTATTTTCGAAAATGGACCCTGTCATTTGTACCAAATGGACGCCTATGCCATTTTGCCCCGTTCAAGTGAATCCGAGTTTCGAGGTTAAGTGAATCGTTTTGCTTGTAAGCAACATTGGATTAAGGGTGGGTTCGGTGCATTAGGCCTACACGTCCTCGCTGGAGTTGCGGGGGATGACGAGATCTTCACATGCGACTTCTGTTTGCCAGCTCGTGAATGGTTTCATCATTGATACATTAATTGTAAATTAAAACACTTGTTTTGTTCTTTTATTTCCACCAACTAGATCGGGTTGACTTGTTTTTAGTAGCCCACCGGTATCTGTCTGTAGTTTTTTCCAATTTTTAGTGAACCAGCATGTATAACAGATGTAAAACGCCAACGATCTTGTCATTTGATCACAATCTATGACTTTGGACTTTTGAATAGAGAGATTCTCTTTTATTTCCATGCTGAACCATTTTACCCCAACAGGGTGGACCATTTTACCCAACTGCATGTACAAAACGGACCACTACACCTCTGTTTATATTTGTTGACCTGTTCAGATTAATATGGAATTTTTGTACTATGTATTCCACGATGTTTATCAACCAATGGGACACCCGTATCCATCAAAACATTAAACATTTGTCTCATTAGTAAGAGGTGAATCTGGCCAAAATCTTAAGTGGTCCATTTTTGTTCCACTTTCCCCGGTTTGCATAAATACTTGCGCAGGGATACACTCTCTTGAACCATTGAATAACCCGAGCGGTAGCCTATTCAATGGTCATTGAGTTCTGTTTTTATTCTATTACTACATGTAAATCTCAAAATATAGGCCTACTCTACTATCCAGATTATCAAAAACAAAAACCGTTAAAATTCGTCATTTCCGCCCTTTTTTCTTTCTTTTTTTTTCACAAAAATTGTGGTTGCTAGTGTTGACGTCATTACAGTTTGACGTAATTCTGAAAGTGACGTCATTCTGGACAAAAGTAGTACGTGTACAAGCCATTAGAATACAACCATAGCCGCCATAGGTTATTCAATGGCTGTATTCAATGATATTTGCTTGTATTTGCATGTAGTTATAGCATAAATAGATAGAACTCAAGGACCATTGAATACCGCTCGGGTTATTCAATGGTTCAATCGAGTGTATCCCTACCGCATTCCACTCGCTATCGCTCGTGGAATACTTGCGCAGGGATACACTCTCTTGAACCATTTAATAACCCGATAGGTATTCAATGGTCATTGAGTTCTGTTTTTATTCTATAACTACATGCAAATCTCAAAATACACTGTACTATCTAGATTATCATAAAAAATCATTACCACTAACGTTAAAATTATCATAAGTTCGTCCTTTTTTCTTTCTTTTTTTTTTACAAAAATTATGGTTGCCTAGTTGTGACGTCATTACAGTTTGACGTAGTTCTGTAAGTGACGTCATTCTGGACAAAAGTAGTATGTTTTCAAGCCATTGAATACAACTATAGGTTATTCAATGGCCGTATTCAATGATATTTGCTTGTATTTGCATGTAGTTATAGAATGAAAGTGTAATATCCTTTTAGCTGTTTAATAAAAGTGAAATATCCTTTTAGCTGTTTAATAAAAGTGTAATATCCCTTTAGTTTTCTATAGCCCTCTGCCAAAATCGTGTTGTTGTGTATAGGCTTTATTACGAATAGTACATGTGACAGACAGATTTTTACTAGATTTAACCACGATTTTCAGTTAGTCTGATGTCTAAAGTGTCCAAAATTGGTTGATGGACTTCAGGGTCATTTTGTTAAATTGCTAAATATCAGTTTGGCGACCAGAATTTTCCTGTAAAATGATCGATTTTTGAAATAATTGCGAGCGAAGATATTAGCCTTTGGAAGTTTGACAAGACGTGTGCAATAATTTCAACCACCGCACTGGTTGTTCGAAGCTCAGTCTCGCTCCTCCATTTTTAGCTTAAATCAAAATATGGCTGAACTGTTCTAATCCATTTACTATCGGAGAAATACGCTACCATCGAGAGTTGATTGTGGCCTGGACAAGTTAATTAATGTCTGATTAATAATTTAGAAAATATTTCAGGTCTAAAGAAAGACCTGCAATAGGAAGATTTAGCTTTTGCATAATGTATGTTTAAGAGTTTAATCTACCCACATATTCTCGATCCTTCTATTGACAGGCCTTTCATCGGCAGTCTCCGGTAGTGACGCCAGTGATAACGGTAAACGTTAGCTTGATCAGCCATTTATTGATTTAGTTATTAAATGGACGACTGTTTAAATCCAAGATGTACCCAAGCCATCCGATGGTCTATAGAGTTGATTTTGAGCCTGTCATGTAAATAAAGGCTTAATTAATAATTTCTATAACATCCAGAAGCCTAAAGAAAGACTTAGCTCTTAACTAATGTATCTTTAACTATGTGACGTGAAAGGTGATGCAATCGATTGGTGAATCGGGCGAGGTATTCGGCTAGTGTGTCCACTCGGCCGAATAAAATTCGGCGCTGATTGATTCGGCCGAATGATTCGGCTAATGTGTCCACTGCTTTAAGAACACCCCCTTTACCTCCCTGAGAGATGAGTTAATTCGACTTCCTCGTACACCATTTAATTTTTTCGTTAAAAGTATCACTATTGGTCCGCTAGAATATAATACTAACTTAAGAACGCGAAATCCCCTTCTGTTCCGGATAAGAACGAAATGACCAAAATCACGATTTAATTCGACTTTTGCGTACAACCACCAACTTTCGTGCATACGTCGACCAACCGCAGATGTCATCAAGAACACTGCTTAAGAAGACCCACGACCCTTTCGGGCACCACTGTCCACTCATCTAACATAGTAGAAATTTTGTACGCGATTTTCGAAACAACCTGAACCTAGCTATGTCTTCGCTCAAATCACCTAGTTGTAATTTTTTTAATATTCGCTTTATATGCATTTCACTGATAATGGGTCTGCGCCTCTTAGCTGGCGTTTCGAAAATGTCTATAGGTCATTTCGATGCTAAAATACAAACTGATTAATTTGTTTCTTGTTTTGCTTGCCATTTTTGTTTTCATGGCCATTTTCACAGCATTTCTGATTTTAAGCCCCTTCCACATTGTTGTAAATTTGAACATATTGCATCTCAATTGAACGAATTGATTATCTCGTTCGAACGAATTAATCATCTCGTTTGAATGAATTAATTATTTTAAAATCGTTTGAACGAGTTAATATTTCGTTTGAACGAATTTGTTATCTCTTTCAAACGGATTAATATTTTTTTCTTGTTTGGCACTAATGGGCCTTCGTACTTTTTTATTCTTTTACTTTGCTTTACTCTTTCCATTGTACATGCCAGCTTTTTTGTATTTAGTTGGATGATAAGCCTGATAATACACTCAAAGCCATTAAAAACGCAATGCCAAATTCAAAGTTTATTTACTG